TCCACCCAGAAAGGCCCCTGGACCGGGGTTTGAACCAGGGACCTGCTCGCTGAGAGGCAGCAGCTCTACCAGTTGCGCCACCGTGCTGCCCGTGGAGTAGCTCTATTTATAAAAAAAGAAATAACGTAAAAAAAATTGACAAAATGTTGGTTACAGTAGAAAATCTCATGGAGATGATTACAATTGAAATAATAAACACTAATTCAAAAAATATAATGATAAGTTGTGTGTATCGATCACCTGAGTCAAATATAGAACTATTCAAGGATCAGATCATGGAGATGCTGGACGGGAGTATTAATAAAACTGTGTTTTTGTGTGGAGACTTCAATATCGACTTATATAAAAATACAGACTCTAACATCAATACATTCATTAATTCAATGAATAGTTTAAATCTGTATCCATTAATATCTAGACCGACAAGAATCACCACTCATAGTGCCACTTTAATTGATAATATCTTTACAAACATAACTAATACAGACCACTTAAGTGACCACTTACCAGTTTTCACAATTTATGGTAAACATCAATGCATATAAAAGGAAATACAAATAAGAGAAAAATAATAAATACATCAAAAAAGGCTTTGAATAATCTAATAGACGATTTACAGAAACAAAATTGGAAGACGGTGTATGTTGATGATGTTAACGTAGCATATGATGTATTTATGAATACCTTGGTAACATTGTACGAAAAACGTGTGCAAAAAAATTATACAAAACAAAATACTGTTGATAAACCATGGATGACAAATGGGTTGAAAAATGCTTGTTAAAAAAGAACAATTTGTACTCGTGCTTCTTGAAATTGAAAACAAAAGAAGCAGAAGAAAGGTACAAAAAGTATAAAAATAAACTGGTTTGGATCATAAGAAAACATAAGAAGGAATATTATAGTAATTTATTATACAAAAGTCATGGTAATATGAGAACAACATGGCAAATAATGAATAGCGTTCTAAAAAATCATGAATCCAAATCAAGTATTCCACAATATTTTGTAAAGGATGGTAATAATATCCATGACCAAAATGTGATTGTAAATGAGTTTAATAATTATTTTGTAAATGTTGGCCCAAGCCTTGCAAACAAAATACCTACAGTAGATGCAAACGTTAATCACAAAATTACAAGTTGTACTAATAGTATCTTTTTGGAGGGAACTAACAAAGAAGAGGTAATGGATGTTGTAAATGAGCTTGCAGATAAAAGATCAAAGGATTGGGTTGACATGGACATGATGTTTGTAAAAAACATAATGAGTTATGTCATTGAGCCGTTTGTACACATCTGTAACCTGTCATTCAAATCAGGAATATTTCCAAATAATATGAAAGCAGCCAAAGTGGTTCCACTTTTTAAAGATGGGGATAAACGTGACTTTAATAATTATAGACCAATATCACTGTTGCCACAATTTTCAAAGATTTTGGAGAAATTATTTGGGATCAGATTGGATCGATTCATTGACAAACAAAACACACTAAGTAACAGTCAATATGGATTTATAAAAAATAATTCCACAAAAATGGCACTTGTTGAATTGGTGGAACAAATAACAAACACAGTTGATCAAAAGAAGAGTTGTATTAGTATTTATGTTGATTTAAGGAAGGCATTTGATACTATAGATCATGGAATTCTTCTTGACAAACTATATAAATATTGTATTAGAGGGACAGCATTAAAGTGAGTAAATAGTTATTTGGAAGATAGAAAACAATTTGATCAAATACATAACATAAGATCTAAATTTAGTAATATCATATGTGGAGTGCCTCAAGGCTTCATACTTGGACCCAGGTTATTTAATTTGTATGTGAATGACTTGGTTAATGTGTCAAACTTTTTTAGATGTATTTTATTTGCAGATGACACAACATTTATTTGTAAAGGTGATGATACAGAACAAATGCTGGAGTTAATACGGTCAGAATTTGTGAAAATCCGACATTGGTTTCTTCTAAATAAGTCATCATTAAATCTGGATAAAACCTATTACATGATACACAGTAACAGAAAAACAGATGTTCACGCTCCATTTTTGGTAGGTGGAACTGAAATTTGCAGAGTTAGTGAGGTGAAATTTTTGGGTGTTATTATTGATGAGAAATTAACATGGAAACCTCACATAAACAATTTGAGAACAAAAATATCTAAATCGATAGCAATTCTGTATAAAGAGAGTTATTCACTGATAAAGCAATGTTTATGTTGTATAATGCATAGTATATAGTAATAGTTGTTCCTTATTTGGTTTACTGTATTGAAGTCTGGGGTAACGTGTGTAAAACTATAACTAATCCTTTGTTCGTTTTACAGAAAAGAGCTGTACAAATTATTATGGAAAAAAAACAATAGATATCCGTCAAATACGTTATTTTATCAACTGAAAATTTTGAAATTCTATGATTTGGTTAATTATAACATTTTGTTGCTTATGTATAGGGCACATAAAGAAATGTTGCCCGTTAATATTCAAACAAATTTTGTTAAAAGAGAAAGTGTATATGTTCTTAAAGGTTTGAGATGTTTGTGAAGCCTTATTTTAGGACTAGTTTGAAGGAACGATCCACAATAATTCAGGGAATAGGATGTGGAATGGTTTGGATGATAATGTTAAAAATGCCAGATCACTGTATATAAGAGACTGATAAAGACGAGTTTCTTGAAAGAATATGGAAATTGTTAATATAAATCTACTT